AATTACATTACGCCTTCTTTCGCAATCTTTCAGAGCGTTCGAGACTTTTGGTTCTCAAAACGTTCAATTCACTTTTTGCCAATCATTTATTTCCTGAAGAATGGAAGACAAGTACAGTAGCAGCGTTATTAAAACCAGGGAAAGCGACACACAATCCTACCAGTTACCGACCTATAGCTATGACAAGCTGCTTAGGAAAACTTTTGGAGCGCATTGTTTCTAAGCGTCTCTCGTTCATTCTCGAGCAGCAGGACATGCTTTCAAGATTTCAATGTGGCTTCCGAAACAATCATAGTACAGTAGATCAATTAATTCGACTTGAAAGCGATATTCGACTAGGTTACAAAAAGAAACAACACACTACAGCAATATTCCTAGACATTAAAAGTGCATACGATATGGTCTACAAGCCAGCCTTGATTTGGAAACTCAAGAAACTTGGAATTAAAGGAAATCTGGGCTATTACTTACTCAATTTCCTCACCGGTTCCAGACGTTTTCGAGTTAGGCGTCGTTCGATCTTTTCCGACTTCTTTGAAACTGAAAACGGTCTTCCGCAGGGCAGCTGTCTTTCTCCTCTGCTTTTTAACATTATGATTGATGACTTATTCCATGATATTCCTTCTGGAGTTAAGTTTTCTTTATTTGCGGATGATAGTGCCATATGGTGCACTACACCCGATTATGACGTAGGCATTCAAAGATTACAAGCTGCACTCGAAAATCTTGAAAGATGGTCTGATAGATACGGATTAGAATTTTCTCCAGAGAAATCTGCATTGATGATCTTTTCGAAGCATGTTTCTCTTCGACCTTCACGCCTTCCAACTTTGAAAAACAAAGATATTCCACTGGTACCTCACTTTAAGTTCTTAGGAGTCGTCCTTGACCCACGGTTGAATATGCACCAACACATAAAACACATACGACCAAAGTGCCAAAGAAGACTTAATTTATTCCGGTGTCTGCTTAGTACACCAGCTGGCGCAGATCGACTTACTTTATTGCGTCTTTACAAAGCACTTGTTCTTCCAGTGATAGAATATGGTTGTGCGATGTACGCTGGCGGTAGCCATGCAGCTCTGCAAAAGCTAGAGGTTGTGCAAAATAATTTTCTTAGGCTGGCATTAGGCGCCCTTAAAACCTCTCCAATACATTCTCTTCAAGTAGAAGCAAACATACTTCCCTTACACATTAGACGCATCGACCTTACTTTACGATATTATGCGAAGATTAAACAGTTTCCGGAGCATGCAGCATTCGCAGCTTTAGATGTGCTCCCTCGACTACATTTTAATTATCTCGGACGATGCGAAAAACGAACAGGCCTTACGATAGCATCTAGAGTTCGGAAATATGAAGAAGAATTGGGTTACAACATGCCTGCTGTTCTTCCACTAGCTCGTCTTGGGTTCGCACCATGGTTATTCCATCATCTCGCTATTTCTTTGCTTTTCACAACATCCAAAAAGTCTGTCTCGCCTGAAGAGGTCCAACAAACGTTTTTGAAATATCAGACAGAAAATGCAACATATCGTTTCATATACACAGATGGGTCGAAAGCTAACGACCTCACCGGTATAGGCATTTTCTCTCCAGATTTCATTAGGATGCGGAAGAGGCTCATCAATAACACGTCAATATATTCTGCTGAATTATATGCAATCTTAGTCGCACTCCAGCTGATCAAACAATATCGTGTCCAGAGAGCTTGCATTTGTTCCGACTCGAAGTCCGCTATTCAAAGCCTTCAGAATTTGAACACCTCACAACATACACACATAAGTATAGCCCAAATTCACCAGCACCTTTCGGAGATAGGTACCAAAGTACAGTTTTTATGGATACCTGGTCATGCTGGCATAATGGGAAACACCATGGCTGATCACTATGCCAAGAAAGCCTTGGAACTTCCACACATTTCTCAAGCACACTTCGATATTGATTCTATTCGCACTTCCATCAAATCTCGCTGCAATCATCTTTGGCAACTCAATTGGAATACCAACGGACCAGGCTCACATCTGTATCGAATCAAACCAAAGATCGGATGCTGGTCATCTACTAGACATTCCAGAAAAGAAGAAAAGGCGCTAGCTAGACTTCGCATCGGCCATACTTACCATACTCACTCATTCATTTTTGATCGTCGGCCTCGGCCCACCTGTCCCCGTTGCAGAGTGCCACTTAGTATTGAGCATATCCTCTTGCACTGCCACAAATATGATAATGAAAGAAACGTTCTGCATCAATATTGTAGGCAGAATGCTCTGCAACTTACGGTACCGGTTTTATTAGGAAATGATTATGAAGACCTCTTACATCTCTTATTTTCATATCTTACCGCAACAAATCTCATAAATCGTTTATAACATTCACTTACTACAACACAACACACTAGACTTCACAATATATTAACCATGCTACGTATATAAGTATATCGTTGATCAACACAAACGGTGCGCAATGGTCCGCAAGGTCCGAAGCACCTATTCAACAAAAGAAAGAAAAGAAAGAACGTGCTTCTATCCTCAGGATACTGAAATCCTTCTCCTCCACGCCACAACCCCATTCCGGGCTGGGCAGGCAACTTTATCTCATGCGGGCTGCTCCCTTGGAGCGGCACCGCTGCTCCCGAGGGAGCGCACCCCGTAGCCGGGTGCAGTGAGTGCCTTGGGGCTGGGTGGTCTGTCCTTTGGATAGGCTCAGCCCCGGCGACTCACTAGGGTGCCTGCCCAGACCAATGTCTCCCCCTAATTCCTATTATCCTTCCGGCTCTGCAATGGTCTTGTCGACCGAAAGGGCCTAACCCAACAAAACAAAACAAACAAACAAACGGCTATACATCTCCATGCATTTTCAGGCGGTCCACATGACTGATGGACTAAGGGTCATGTCGAATTTCCTGTGGGAATTCGATTTGGTCTTTCCCGCCGAAGTGAAACTTTCTCACCGATGTTTTCTAGGTGTGAGATTGTCATTTTATAGAAATCTTCTCTAAAAAATGGACAAGCGTGGGAGTTTTTTGGGACCTCGTGACTTGGTCGGCAAAGGGTAGGCGTGGAGGGTAATCCCTCTCTTGGGGGTTTGTGGGCCGCGTCTGCCAGGTAGGCGTCAATGAATACCTTTCGATGGAGGGGTCGCAAGCCATTGGTGCGCGAATAGTCGTGGAGGGTTACTACTTTCCAGGGTGAATTGCGAAGTGTAGTGTCCTAAATTGACTCCTGGGAGGGTGGTTAAAAATGGTTGCGGATAGGGGTACCCGCGAAACACCGGTTTACTCGCCGGCCTTGGGTTAAATTGTTTTCAGTGTAAGTTATTGAAGCAGCATCGGTGAAAGCACTGAAACAAAGCTTCTATATGTAAGTTAGTTGACGATTAGCTCTTCCTCTTTTCCGCAGGATGGCCAAAATGCAGCCGACAACCGCGGCCCCTCAGCAATGAGCTCTGTTACGCCCGCCGGCAGCGAACGCAGGTAATGGGGGAGGGGCTCTGGCTAGGAGTGATGCAGGGCTGAGGGAGGGGACGCTGGGGGAGGGGCGCTGGAGGAGTGAGGGCACTGAGGGATGTCGTCGATCGTGTCGTTGTCGATGTCGTGAATCGGGACCGTATCTAAGGTGTTCACGTAAATCAGCGCGTGAGCTGTTTTCGGGACAGGACCGTCGTCAGGGGAGGGGTCGAGAGGGGTTGGGAGGGATCAGGAAAGGTATCGTACCATGAGCACCACGGCACAGCGGCGCCCAACCGATCAAACACCGCCTCACGAAACACCGTCCACGTGTCACTGACACGTGTACCATGTCACGGGACCCGTTTATGATCGTGTATTTACGAGCTGGTCCCGATTGGTCCGCCCCGGCCCTGATTGTCCCCCACTGTCCTGATCGGTCAGTTACGACCCCCTATAACCGATCGTGTCAGTCCATAGTGCTCCTGAACAATCGTCCGATGATTTATGGAGCACCTAACTGAAACTAACTGAGGTGAGTCTGTTCTACTGCTGATCGAACAACAACCATGACAGTTTATTTGGTTGTGCACATTTTTAGGTTTCATTTTCAGCGATGCTGGCGATCTGACTGAAAAGTGTGCAACCACAATTTACGATGGCAAGTTAAATTCAGTTTGATCAGACTACAGCAGAACAGTGTTTGAAAATCCAATATGGTAATCCCGCCTATCAATTTCCTGTCGCTGTTAATTCCAGGCCATCACTGGCCGATCATAAACGCACCGTGTGACCGCAGTTCACCAACAAACCGGCAATCTTGCGACAATTTACTGTCGATCCGATTTGATTCTGACGGTTGAGCTAACCCTCATTGCCAACCGCACTAGCAACCGCGGTCAACCGCGCAGCCTACCAATGTTTTCTGTCCTAATGAAACGCCGATTGGCCGAAAAACACGCCGTTCCACGACGATAACGACGCCGAAAGATTAGGGCGACGACGGTCGTACATCGATACGATCCGGTCGCGTCGGGCACGACTCAAAGACCGGCGCCGATGATATAATCACCAGACAATTAGCCCTTCAGCCCTGTGTTGGTCAAATAGCGCCGCTCAATATTTAACACTGCAAACATACATCGACTGCTAAGCGGGCTTCGTGCATGACAGGGCAGAGGGGCGGGGTAGAGGGGCAGAGGGGAGGGGGTAAATCAATACAGGAGCATCAGTTGAGCTGATGACAGGGATATAGGGTCGTACGACTTGGAACGGACAACTGACAGTGTTTTGACATTGCTAGGAAATGATACCAATCAATCAGATAACAGTAGCATAGCAAACTGAAAACAGATCGATGTCGGAAATGTACACAACTCCAGCGCATTAGCTTTACTTTGTGTTCAGCAGTGTCTGCAATGTCTGTTCATTGTCTGCACGTGTCAGGTACATACACCGCAGGGTCTATAAGAACGTCTCCTACCAAAGCAGCATCCCTTCCCAAAGACGACTACCAAAGACTACCAAAGACGCAGTATCCCCGTCGTCTTACCTCCTTTTCTTTGGAGACATCGCTGCCTCCGAGGCTGGCTCGCCGCTGGGTTTCGGACGCCGAGTCCGGGTGACCGGCTCCTGACGAGGCTGCCTCACTGTGTCGAGACGGGGTGCGCTCCCGACTTGCAGCCAGCTGCTCCTTGAGCGTGCGAGCCTCGCGCTCCGCCAGCGCCGCCCGCTGGAAAAGAACAGAGAGAGAAGGGTTAGAGCGATAGTCTGGGTATATGACAATAAAGAAGAGGATGGAGAAAGACAACATGATGTTCGAGGGAGCTGCGGAGGCGATCCGATGCCTCCGAGGCTTATTAAAAGCGATTTTTTACCGTTAATAAGGTTTGGTTTCGAAGCAAGAGGCCCTGTTTGTTCGATCGAGTGGGGTGTTATCATATAATGGTAATAACCACTGCGATTGTGTTTGGTGATAAAGTGTGTCACATTTCACACATGTAATCGAACACCATGCTCATCACTCACAGCCGGGTGAGCGCTTAGTGAAAGGGGGTCAGCCGCTTCTCACAATCAACAAAGAGCACTTTCACAAACCCACAATATGACGCGGACAATTTGATCCTTAAATAACTTACGTAAGAGTTATTTCGGGAGCGGTAATCCTATATGGAACATGGGATGCAATCAGAGCTCCTGTGTGGTGCATAAACGCCAGCTTCAATGGTGTGAGCTCAATAAGCTGTTATCGGGCTACTGCAGAAAATAGATGTTTCCCGTGCAATGAGCAGGCTGATTATGGTGAAAGTGGTCTGACATATCCTGCTCCTCTGAAGAGGGTAGTTTGCTCTGAGTGAATCATCGCAAGAGTGGGGAGGGGGTTATGAAACCACTTTTCAGCCACGCCCTTCCGGGTTCAGTGACAAAGTGTGCAAATTGATTATTCAAATAATTGGTCAATCAAATCAACCAATCAGTTACTAATAGTGAATAGCGAATCAAGTCACATTCCTAAACGCTCTGGTAGAAAAATTGTTTTTCTTTAACTTTTGTTCAAGAGTTTGCATTAAAAATGCAATATGTTGTTTGTCGCATCATGCCAGTCATGCTATTCCTCAGTTTTGTGTAAATGGTCGCTAGAAAGATGGTCGCTATGCTAAATTCCCTCCACTGATCACCACCTTTGCCCCAATCCTCGGTCGCTACCGCGGCCCCATCTAGCTACACAGCTCGTTCGGCTGTTGAGCTGCACCTGACTACCACAGGATCAGACCAGAGACCACCTGGCCACCCCAAACCGGCGAACCGGCCAGAGCCCCGGGGATGCACGGCTCCTCACGGACCCGAGCACGCCACCGCTCTCAGTACCGACCGTCTGGGAACGGTGAGCCGGTCTTTTCGCGAGCGGCGCGCGGGGCGGTAGCAGCCGCCGCGGCAGCCCTGATTGGCCTCGTAGTCGCTATCTGACGGAGCATTTGTGAGCCCTCCCACAGGCGTGCATGAATCCACTGATAGCGGCCGCTGGTCCAAGGCTGAGAACGGCAATCCCGTTGGGCCGGAACAGTCGGCAGCGGGCGCGGACGACAGATGCCGGTTGGCGTGCGGTGGAGGTTCATTCCGACATGAACTCGACCCGCGGGGGGATCGGCCGCGCTGCCGATCCATATCGGCGCTGCTCGGAGCTCGTGAGAGACCGGTAGAGCGTGGTGAATGTGGGTTTCTCCCCGCACGAGCTGCTTGTTGGCCTGGTTACAGAATTGGTCGATAAACCGGACTGCACAGGCGATCGTAGATTGTGCTATCGGCGGCCACGTTTTCCTGAGTGGTGTTCGACGGGACTCGGGCCGCATGCTGTTCGGTTCAGAGAAGCGACAAATGTCCAGCGGTAGTTACCCGCGCACGCTTCTTGTATGGTCGCCACGCGGCTGACATGACTCGGTCGCGACCGTGACTCCCGGAAAATCGGGGAAGGAGGGTGCTGACATGGTTCAGGCAGCGGCCGCCTATCTTCCTTCCGCTCTCTGGAACTAGAGGCATCACGGGACGGCCCAGTCCCGTACTCCGTGGGTATAATGGTAGCGTATAACCATTCCTTTTGTAATCAAGTCCTAATTTTGAGTTGTCTCGCACGCCGGTGATGGGACCAATACTGAAGCTATTAGCTTGCACTGGCCTTGGCCCGGCTCAGACAAAACAGACTGGGAGGTTGCGTGGCCATGGCTCGTGGCCTCCTCTCGTTTTTCCGAACTGGAAGAATTTTACGCGGCCGTTGCGACGCGGCCGAGTGGAATATAGCGTAGACATGCTACAGAACATTTCTACAGAAATGCTCGCCTCTTGACGGTTGAATTTAATAGGGCTACGTACGCTGCAAGCACCAAAATGTTGGTTTTAACGTCCCCAGACATGAGGTTAAATGAAAGTGAAGGTCTTACGGTACTGTGATTTATTTTCATCACCTTCCAGTTCCCATACTACTCACCCCATCGTTCATCGACTGCGGGCTCACAATTTATTCACCCGGACGACATTTGCAGTCGTGTGAGCACCGTTCTAGCGCCTGTCTTTATGATGCTATTTGGAGGCGCGCTCAGTATCGTTTAGAGCTGCATTCCTGGTTGTATTATCGCCAGTAATATCGCCCATTATACGGTGGCACCCAACGTGGGTTCAATGGGTACATTTGATGGGTACGCAGTGCAATCGAATACATGCGTGATAATACATGTGCGAGCTGGTAGGATAGGAAGAACATGACAAGCAACGTCAGTTACTACAGGGAGAGGGATGACAGCTCTCAGATCTGACTAGTTGTCCCGATCCGTGGGTGTGCTCAATGCCTTATTACGCTATCGATCTGGTGCGACCAAAGCCACGTGAAAAAGTCTGGAGGTCTAAAAATCAAGTGAATTATGTATCAATGGCAACCTTAGCAATCAGAGCCAAACAAAATAATTGTCCAGGCCTTGTTGGATGATGTTGTCTAATCCTCACAACTTATGATATCGTTTGTTTTATGAATGCGTCAGTCTATCAACTAGCCGACATACTATTGGACTTTATCATATTCGATTGACTGCCTTTGTCCCATCCTCCCAGTATTCCAATCAGCAGTGACCGCTCGCAGAGGGGAGGGGGACAGGAAGGGGGGGGGGCTGCGCGGGAGGTGAGAGCGATGGTCAACGCAGTGACTGCAGCGGCGCACCGGTCGCTAGCACCAGCGGTCGCCGCCGGAGGAAGACCTCGGTCAGTCCCTGAATAACCCCAGGGCCACCCCAGGGGTAGACCCTCTCGACTGAGTGTGATAGGTCGCCCAGCTGGGGTGCAGCCGCCGCCGCGCCGGATGCCGCTACAATACTGTGACGACAGAGGGGGCGGCGAGGGAGGGGGAGGGAGCGCTGCTGCAGCTTCCGGGTCGGCAACTTGAGGGGGACGAACGCTGCAGCCTTATCGGCCCCTCCCCCACGCCCACGCTCCCCTCTCCCCGATTAGCCGCGCCCCTCCCCATCATGACATCTCCGCATGCCGGCACTAATATGACTCTGCAATTTATTAGGCAGTCGGCGCTTTTTGCCAATTGTTTTTGGTCGGCCGGCGGCGCCAATCAAAGAGTTCCGGCGCATTTCGGTAGCTGGACCACGTTAACCAGCCGCTCCGCTCCCGAGGAGGGGAGAGTTGACATCCCGTGGGGGGAGGGGGAGGGGGGAGCCTCATGACTGACTTCACCACCCACTAACCCGGAAGTCATGGCCTGCAGAGTGGAGTAAGTCGAAATGGAACGATTGAGGCCGATGTTATGTTGTGTGGGGGTGGGGGTGGGGTGTCTTTGTTGCTGCACTGGAAAACGTTTCTTAGCCCGCTGTTAATCGGGGGAACGTCAAAAGCCGATGTTGTAAAGGAGAATAATGCTAGAATGGAGACGAATATAATCGCATGCAAATATGCGGACGCGGTCGGGCAGAAATCAATGATGAGACGTAATCCCGTCGTGATAAGTGATAACTGTGACGTGCCTCTGGCCAAACAATCCGACAGGCGACTGGCAGAACAGGTTCGTGACGTCATCCGATAGAGCAGAGCGTGCGAGAAAGGTGTGAGCTTCAGTGGTCACCTGAAACACTCGCCTCGATCACACGGAACCTTATGAACATAGGGGAGAGTGGGGCAAAGCGGCCACCCTAACGCTTCTCACGATGCCAACGCTTGATTTTTAAACTTCGAAAGATTCTTTCTATACCAATGTGATCCCTATTAAGTTGCCTTTTATTTCAACTGCGTTTTATTTCCAAAGGCGTTCACATATGAAAGATATTGACAAAACTTTAAACCTATGCATATTGGCCACTTTGCCCCATACCCTGGGGCAAAGCGGCCACCGGCGTCTTCTCAAGTCCCGATATGAGAAACAAAATAGTTGCCTCGTGTACGACTAGGGTATTTGATGGTGGCAAGGTTATACGAGGATGGATGTTTACTTTATCATCTTCTGCCTGTAGGTAAACAAAGAAAGGATTTTCATGAAAATAAACAAGTAATTGCATTATTTGGTAACTCATGCAACTGAAAAGTGGCCATGATGAATGCATGACGACTCATTTGAATACAAATAATGTTTTTTATCCAGATGGAAGCAACTTATGGCCAATTGTGGGGTGGCCACTTTGCCCCGGCCACTTTGCCCCGCGCATACCGTCCGAGACAAAAATATTCCAGATTAGCTATAAGTGGGGTAAAAAACATAAAAATTGGTAGAATACATGTACGGTAACCATGCAATGCATGGACAAGAACGCTTATAAAAAATCCAAACGGTTATGGAATAACATAACATTTAAAAATCGTAAACATAGTTGGTAACCTGGCAAGAAATGCTTTTCCGTGTTTCACAGAACAATGGTGATTGGCCTGAAACCCCGGTCTGGCTCATTCGAACGACCGTGAAGAGAAGTATAATTGGAAACCATAAATTGGAACTGACGCCAGCTATGAAGGGCTAAAACGAAGGGTGGCCGCTTTGCCCCGGGTGGCCGCTTTGCCCCACTCTCCCCTACCTGAGGACTCTCCTAATACCGCACCAGCTCTCTAAAGAGCGTTGTGGTTTGACTGAAGCATCATGCCGATTTCTCGGTATGCGTGCCTTGGTTGAGATGCTTGTCAGTTTGTGGCAGGTGTTATGGACTAGAGCCTGTTACGGCTATGATAGTCCACATTCCACGCCACGAATCTGGCAAA